TCTAGTTATTGTACATTTTACACATTTCTACATTTCTAGCTGTACAGGATTCAAGAGAAGTTTCTGAAAGGATCTGGCATTTAGCACGTCCAAGCATCATAGAGCTTGTATCTTATTCCTGAAGATTTGGTGTTGTTTGTTCCACTGCACTTGGGAACATGTCATAATGCTTTTGAAAAAGTGGAATAAGCTTTCACAGAATCACAGAATAGGTAAGATTGGAAGGGACCACAGTGGGTCATCTGTTCCAATCTCCCTGCTCAAGCAGGGTCATCCTAGAGCACATGGCACAGGATTGCATCCAGACAGTTCTTGAATATCTCTAGTGAGGTAGACTCCACAACCTCTCTGGGCAATCTGTTCTTTCCTGCTGACATTGTAACTCTGTGAAATACAGATTCCCACACTTATATGTGCAGCAGAAATGAACATCAGCATCTCAGTTTCTGTTTACAATGGCAAAAGTCACTAGGATAATGAAATAAACAGGACTATGGGAATAGAAACCATATGATGAAAATTTGGAAATGCTTCTGTAGTCAGCTGATTTTAATGACTTTCTGATGTTACTCAGATTTTTTGGAGTATAAATTCTTGGCTTGGGAAAGTGAAAAATACAGAGTGAAACCTTTAAGTATTTGATTCTTAGGACAGACAGTTCTTTTATTCCTTATAAAGTATGCCTAGCAGAGTGGCTCCTGGCATGTGCCACAGTAAGAGAACCAATCATCACCATCACCAAAAATAATAGAAACAATAACTTTGCATTTATATAATTTAGCAATTATCAGCTGGTTTCACATTAGCTGTTTGGTCTGTGCTTACAGTTATACATAATCTTCTCTTTTTACACATCAGTACATAACTATGGTGACTTCTTGTAGACAAAATTTTCATCTACCCTGTAAAAGCCTCATAAGACTTTTCTTACACTCAGCATTTTATAAAAAGTTACTGTGTTATGATAGTTTTCTAAAGATAAAAAGTAGTTTAGTAAGCTCTAGGTAAAATTTCAGCTTCCTCCATAATTGAATGCCCTCTCATATTCCCTCCCTGCAGACATCTGTAATGTCAAATTTCAGTTCTTGTTGCTGACTCTGTTTCTGAGGTCTCACAATAAGTCATAGAGTGAAATTGGCTATTTTTCTAACACTGCTTCCTGGCTTCTTGTTTTTATCACCACTATTAATAAAATGCTTGGAAATTGATTATCTGTCCATAGTTTCTGACTGTTTACCATTTCATCGAAGTCATGACCAAAGAAGTGGCCATAAGGAAATAGGAACCGGAGGTGCTTTGGTCAACTTTGTCATTTAGATTTGTAGGTTTAAGGTATATATTCTTCAGCAAAAGGGGCTGTGGAGAAGCAATTTGCGCCTCACTCTCCAAAACATCAGTGTCTGTTTCCTGCTTCTTCTGTCAATAATGTCTCTCTTGGAAGGGGCTTGAGTCAAAGGCAGCTGACAGGAAAAGCAGTTTTCACAGTAGCAAAGTATTTTTTTTCCCCTTTGACAAGAAAAGAGTGTATAATTTTTGACTCCTTTCATACTGGCATCTGTTCTGCATATTCATTGCTTTTTTTGGGCAAATGCATGATGATGCAGCATCAAAAAGAATTGCTCAATATTTTTTCAGTGCCTTAAGATGCATCGGTTAGTATTGCCTTGTCTTTAAAAATGTAATTCTACCAAAAGAAATAATGAAACAGGACTTGACACTGATTCTGTTTGAATAGTGCATATATCTGAATATCAAAATAGTTAAAACAGAGATGTTTCTAGAATCTAATCCTTCATTTTTTTCCCTGAAGTTTGAGGAATCTCCACAATTTTGTCATTCCTTTAGGGTTTTTCTTGAAGGGTTTTTTATACTTTTAATTTTTTTTTCCTCAGCACAATACCCATTACATTTTCTATGTTTCCATAAATATGAACTTCAATATTTCTCCTTTTGCAAGGTAACTTTTTAGATTAGGTTTCCATTTGATTTTGTTTTCCAACTGTCTTTTGTAACACACAGGAAATTTCAGTAGACATTCAACTAGTTCTGTTCTGTGTTTGTTATGTCTGATTTGTTATTTCAAAGACGACTTTAAAACGAGCATCATGCAGTGTAGATTACTCTCTCTTTACTTTGTATGCAGTTCTCATCCAGAAAGATAAAAACTGCCAAAAAGAGAGGAAAATTGGGATTTCATTGGTAAGATTTCGTTTTTCATCCCAGCTCCAGCATCACTGACCTGTGCTATGTTCCCTATCTACAAGTGTTCTTTCTGATTCTTTGAAACAAATGGGAATTCCAAACAGAAGCAAATAATTTCCATATTTTCAGCAGACAAAATGAATATTTCAATTAAATTTATGTTTATTTTGGAGTTTGAATGAGTTTTTATTGTAGGTTTTTTTGTTGTTTTTAATCTACTAGAAGATGAATTTACTTTAGAACTGTTACATTAATCCAAGTACTGAATCCCTTAACTTGTATTTAATTTGAAAATATCATATGCAGTTAATTAAATTTTGGGTTGAGTTCTTTGGAAATAAACTTCTTGTTATTGATGATGTCATTAGTGCCAGGAGATATTCGTTTCCTGTGAAGGACTGTAATAACCCACTGGGATTTTTTTCCTTTTTTCAGTCCCTGCATGATAAATTAATAATTCAGATAATTTGTTTATAAACTAGGCTGTAGGGGGACATTGCTGAACACTACAAATAAGTTTTTGATGTAGTTATAAAATTATTTCCTACGCTATTTATCATTTCTTAAACCAGACACTGTTGATGAATATTCAACATCGGCATAAAGCACAGGGAAACCTTTTTAATCAGCACTAATACTGAAGAGTGAGTTTTCTAATCAGCATAACTGGTGTGTGGTGTGGGAACCTATAGGGTTGGTGAATTTTTCAGATTAGGGAGTGTTAATGAATGGAAGAAGGACAGGCACTGACAGCCAGGGAAACTCTTGTTCATTTTTAGCACTTTTCTGGCTTTCAGGAATGAAATCAAGCCATAGGGAAAGAAATTGCCTTGAAAGGCACAGGCTACCACCCACAATAAATCCCAAGCTCCCTTTGGATAGCAGGCTGTTTCAATAGGCTTTGACCCAAACAAACCATCTTCTTTATCGTTTGTGGATTTGCAGTTTAACAAAATGGTATGTAGTGTGGGGCAGCTCTGTGGATTTAAATGCATGACCCAACATTGAAATCCAAGTTGTTCATGGTTCTCTTGAACTATACCTCATCCTTTCATGCACTTGTTTTTATGGACCATAAATATTCAATTAGATTTGATGCAATTTTCACACTGTATTTTCTCTGTCAGAAATAAATGCTGATTTTGTCAGGTTACAAGGTGGTTGATGCTTATGGTGAACTAGGAGACAGTTTGAGAAAGCTCTTTCTCTTTTTCTCACCTGAGTTAACTAGATGCTGTTAAAGGCTGGTCTTTCATTGTCTTTTTTTTTTCTCAAAAGCAGAACTCTGTTGTCACTACAGTTTTTCCTTCTGAGGGCAACTTCTCACTCTGGCTTAAAGACAAAGCTTCAAGATGCAGCAGTTCTGCTGCCTCTGTTCCCATATAGCCCAGGCTCTTCCTGTCTAAACAGTGCAGTGCAGAGATTATAGGACTGGAGATTACACTGACTGCCCTTTGCTGGGGACTCCCTCTTCCATGTTGGGGGTGTGGAATGGAGAGCATGTCTGTGCTCCAAGAGCTATTTTCACAATCTATCAATCTTAAGATGCTCCTGAAAGTGGATGTGTGCTGCGAGCTGAAGCATGGATGTGCTACTCATGCAGCCTCTGCCAGCAGTCAGGAAAGCCTGCAAGAGAGGACTGGGATAGGGTAGGAAGGAGCAGAAAATTTCTTTATCAGAGCTAGTCTACCAGAACCCTCAGAAAACCACATTACAAAGAAACATTGCAGATCTGCTAACTTTATATTGTGGTTATCATAACACAATCCATCCTTGTATTTATTTTTGTTTTTATGCTTTGGCAAGAGATATATCATGTGGAGCACCATAAACTGCAGCTGCTGATAGTAATTCTGAGCTTAGGCCAAATTTATTACAAGCAGGCTCAACTCAATTGAAGTCATGCTTGCTTACACCTGTAGTGAATTTGATACTGGATGTATGCATTGACTTGTCCTAAATATGTTGCCTGAAATGATTAGCACTAACCCAGTGTATGGCAAACCTCTGAAGCCTATTCAAGTTAGGTGATTTATGACAATTTGCATTGCAATTGCTCTCTTCTGTGCTTGTCTGTAGTATCTGCAATACACTCTCAGAATCTTTCTGGTTAATCTGTTTCCATAGACACTCTACCTCTGCTTCTGTGACTGCAACTCGCTTACAATATGCTGCAGAAGCACTAGACAGCAAAAGTACCAGTGACAGGACATTTTCAGCAGCAAGGAGATGAGTGTTAGCTGCAGAAGCTGCTGGAGAAGCAAATTAAATACTCAGGTGGTTAAACCAAGATCCATGTGACTATGGCTGTCTGTCAATACTTCCATTTGAAGAAATTTTTATTTAACCCTGGTGTGTCCTCAAGAGCAGGAGTCACTTCAGTGACAGCACTGCAGACATCCCAGGAAGGAAGCAAATAAATTCACAGCTGATTAAGCTAATTTTAAACAAATCCATCTTCCATTTTATCAACTTGATATATATGATTCTAGAATTTCATGTTGCTTCACATATGCTTACTTTGTTATTTTGTGAAAAGAAATATACCAAATACCTGATCCTGTTAAGTCATTATATAGCTTTTACAAAGTCGCATTAACACTTAGGAAATTATAATATTGCAATATCACTTTAGAGGCAAGGTAGTTTAAGAATGGTTCACAAATTGTACACACTGTTGCCTGCATCAATGATAATTTGGATTGAAATGCATGTTATTTTAGTTGGAAAACACACTTTGTAATAAGGCCAGAAACTTCATAAGAAATTTTTAAATTATCTTTTAATCAGTTGCTTAATAATATCTGTTTTGATAATAAATAGGAAAAAATAACAGCAGGAAAAATAGAACTGCTGGTCCATTTAATTCTACTTGGAGACAGCTTCCAGACTTTGTCAAAGTATTGGCAGAAATACAAGGCTAGTCTATCTTCAGCACTGCTCATCCTGCCTGTAGACACAGCGTTGAGATACAGGTATTAGAATAGAACAAACTATTCGCAATAAAAATATTTGGTATTGGAAGAGCTTGGTTTTGTTTCTTGTATCTTTTGGTGAAGTGCTCTGCCTGCCCTAAATGTGAGACCCAGGGATATAAAACTAGCACTAGATAAAGCCTTTCTATTTTGATTTCTTGACTCTTTTGGTGCAGACTTAAATATGAAATCTGAATATTTCAATAGCAGAATATCCACGTGTTTGCACCATTCACCTTGTAATCATAGGATCTAATATTTCACCACTTTTTTTTTTCTTTCTGTTTTTCATTTTATTAACAGTCATGTTTGAAAAATAATGGAAGAAGAATTTTTTAGCTGAGAGAATATCATAGCATATCAGGTTGGAAGGGACCTCAAAGATCATCTGGTCCAACCTTTCTTGGCAAAAGCACGGTCTAGACAAGATGTCCCAATATGGAGTCCATCTTAATCTTAAGAGAGTCCTATGCTGGGGAAAGCACCACTTCCCTGGGGAGAATATTCCAATGGCTGATTGTTATTATTGTGAAAATTTTTTCTCCTGTGTCCAGTTGGATACTTCCCAGGAATAACTTGTACCCATTATCCTCTGCCTTTTCCACCTGACTTCCTGTAAAAAGGAAGTCTCCATCTTCTTTATAGTCAGCCTTTAAATACTGGAACATGGGGTTAAGGTTTCCCCTAAGTCTTGTTTTCTCGAGGTTGAACAGACCCAGCTCTCTCAGCCTTTCCTCATCCGTCAGGCTTCCCAGTCCTTTGTTCATCTTTGTGGCCTTTCTCTGGGCCCTCTCCAGGCCAGATTTTTTTGTTTAATGGGGACCAAAATTAAACACAGTATTCCAGATGTGTCCTGACCACCACTGAGTAGAGTGGGATAATGGTTTCTTTGTCTCTGCTGGTGATGCCCTTTTTGATGCAGCCCAGCATTCTCTTGACTACTTTGCCAAGGCAGCAGCACACTGCTCACACATATTGAACTTCTTGTCCACCTGCATCCCCAGGCCCCCTTCCAAAGAGCTGCTCTCCACCAGGTAGATTCCAGCTGGTGCTGCACTTCTGGATTATGTTTTCCCAACTACGGGACCATACGCTTGTCCTTGTTGAACTTCATAAGGTTTTCAATGACTTGAGAATGAAAATATAATCAAATCTTAGAAGCAACCCTAAATATTTATGGCCATCTTTGTTAATGTAAATGTTGCTTACTGCAGCTGTTAAGCTTTCCATGATCTCTATTTTTTGGGGGGGTTTTTTGTTGTTTGTTTTTTTTTTTTTTCTGTCTAGGGAGTAAAAGCACAGGTCCTGACTTGTTTTATACTCAGACAAACATCTCTCATCTTCTAGATATCTACAAGAATAGATTCATAAGTGATAATAGTTCATCCAATATACTGAGAATAATATGATCAGGTCTATTCTTTTGTTAATTATTTCCCAGAATTTTGTTTTTACAATGCTGAGACATTATGTTCTGAATTCCCAAGAAATGCCATATAAACTACCAAGCCTTTCCACACAATAAACTTCTTGTAATGATCTCATATTTTCTAGGAGGTATTTGTCTACCTCATAAAATCATCACATAACAACACAATTGGCAGCTTCTGTTCTGCAAAAGCAGATTATAATGGCAGGTCAAGGTTAACACATATTGGCAGAGCTTTGTGAGGAAGTTTGTAATTCTTCTTCTGACTTCCCATTTCTAAAAGATCACTTAACAAGATTATTCCAGGATTCATATTTTCTACTTATGAGTTACACAATAAGCTAAATAAAGGCTATGTCTGCTTTGTGATAATATCATTATAAAATATTGTAATCACTGCATACATAGTATGGAAATAGTATATTTGTATATAATAGTATATATAACGTAGTATAACAAAATAATCTATATTCTTCTGTCATAGCTGTTGAATATTCTTTGAGCTATTATCTTCACAGTGTTTCCTCTGTAGGTCCACTTTAAGCACACTATGATAGCTCTGGCCTCTCTGAGTCTTTTTTAGTCCTGTTCTCAAATATTCTTTACATGTCATGAATTCTTCAGTGCAATATTTTTTTCCTTTCTTTTTCTTTTTTTTTTTTTACAAATTATCTTTAACAGCTTCAGAGTCAGATTAAGCAATCAATGAGAAATAGCACACTGAATATTGAGTAACAAATGTTACTCAATAACCATGACAAGAACAATCCATTTTACAAGTCCCAGGCTTGTCTATCCTCTCAGAATTGCTGAAAGATAAGGGCACCAGCCAGTTAAGAGAGGTGTGAATAATGACTACAACTAATGAGACATACCACAAAACCTGGACTTTTTCAAATAGTTGGCTGTTATTATCCAATCAGAATACAGAGAGCTTTTTGGTATGGAAATGTGATTAGTGATTTTTTTTTCCTTCTGACTGCCTGACACAATCCTTTTAAGGTCATTCCATATGTTCTTTTTCTCATTCTATAGGCAGTATACAGTGGATCTATTTTTTTTTCCCAGAAATTAACCGTGTTCATAATTTGGAAATGTTTCTAGAAAATTATTACTCCAACACTGATCTATATTGCAATTTGAATGGGTAATCATTTTTTGAGATAGCATTGTTGCAGTTTTTTGTGATATAGTTGTTCTGCACTTCTTTCACAGCAAGAATCTAATAATATAATGTGCGTTCTGAAGAACACATTAAAATGACATTATGTGATCAGGATGCCAATTATAGTATGACTAAAGACTAGCTATCAAGCTACAGAAAGTCAGTAATTGTGCTGATATAAATATAATGTTTATATGTCCTGAGTAGAAAAAAATTAATCCCATTTTATTACTTACATACAATTATTGACAAAACACTTAGGCATACATTTTCAAAGTGTTGTATGAGTTTTTAGCTGCATGACTCCCATTTAAGTCAATCGGAGTCACATAGTTAAAACCGCATGCAATGTTTTGAAAAATTACCACAGAGAAACCTCTCTTATTTCTTAGCCGCACAAACCATTTTATTCTCTAGTAGTTCTTCCACATGGCATGCTAATAGTGCTGGCTGTCAGTAGTCTCATTAAAATACTCCACATCTACAGGCCTTCAAATATGGTGGTCTATATATATATGCAGATTTCAAAAATAATAACATGATTTGTACTTCTATTGTTTCTTTCATCTGTTACAGGCTGGTGCTTTAAAGCTATTATTTAATTATGCCTCACATCACTCCTCCAGGTGGGTGCACTAGTAGCTGCCACCTTTGGCAGCTAACACAAGGAGACAAGGTGAGACAATGGAGGAATAAAGAATTGAACCAGCCCAGCACCAGGTCCTTGTCCCTTGTTCCAGCTATGAAATACTCCCAACCCACAAAGATTCATCGTTCAATAGTATGTAATGCATATGAAATGCTAACATTAATTGGAAATGGCACCAGAGTGACCTCACTTCAGTCTACTGAGGTCTGATATTGCTTCTTTTCACTCATTAATTCATTAATTAGTTTAAAAGGGCTAATGGAAAACAAAAATATTCCATTTGCCAGGGTGTATCACTGCTGAATATTTATATAATTTTTTATTATTCATGCGGGATCATAAGTGCTTAACAGAAAAGTCATTGTGAGTTTTCCTTGTTGTTGAAATAAACACAATATAGAATTTTTAAAACACATCAATTTAAAGGACTGATGGGATCTTCTTTATAATTTGTCTTTGGGAGGCTAAAGAAGATCTAGGAAAACAATTTTATGAACAGCTTAGTATATTGACAGACATCACAACTCAAACACTTCCACTATGCACTGATGGCCTCAGCAGAATGGCATCATATGAAATCTTTGTGATAAGTATAGTTCTCTCTTAGGTAAAAGAAGAGATTTGTACTTGTTCTTTGATTAAATGAAGAAGCACACAAATAAAGTACTGATCATTATTAGTACCTATATATAAAAATAGTAACTAATGTTTTTATGTACATGCTTAAGAAATTGAAAAATTTTAAATTTACCATTAGCTAGGGTGTTAAATTCATCAGTCTGGAGTTTTGGGTATAGAGCTTTTTGTTGAGACATATGTATATATTATATACTTCCAATAAGTATTTTTTAGATTCATTTCAGTTCTTCAGAAACATAGACTTTCCTGGACAAAAGAGAATTAGCTTTGTCTGGCAGATATCAGTTTATTCTTGTGAATTGAGATGCATTCAGGTTTTCATAAACTGTAACTGACCTCTTTATAAACAGAAATATTAGCCACACCCAGGTTTCCTTAGAACAGAAAATATAAATTAGTGCAAAATAAAGGTCATAATGATTAAATATTTTCACAAAATAAAAACTAAAATTCAATAAGATTCCACTTACCATCCTATTTTATTTAACAGCAAGACATTTTTTGTGTTTGACTGCAATAGTATTACCATGCTCTAAGACAAAAAATTGTTTTTCCTAGTCGATTGTACCCTTGTGCCTTTGTTGCTTGTATTTCTATCCACATTGAGTGCATTACCCATTGTTAAATGATTGATAAAAATTGTTAAATAAGGCAAACACTATATTCAGTGTAGTGTAATGAGGCCTATCAAGCAGGAGAAATACTTCTCATCATGATATTAAAATTAAATGTAGCATTTTACAAATTCTTGACATAAATAAAGAGGTTATTTATCTGGACCAATGCTTTCTTGTAAGCCCAGTGTTCTGTATAAGTCGTTGCTAAAGTACATATTTTACTATGTAGAATACCTTAATTTTCTTCTTCTCAAATGCATTTTGAACTTGCAATCATTAAACATAGCATAGTCTGCAACTGTACGGCTTTCCTATGTAGGGTTGTAACAGCTATTGCAGTCTTATTTCACATGCAGTTTTGCATATCCGTAAGAATTTGTTTTTCCACATAAAATGTGATACGTCTACTCATATTTAATTGCCTATGGTAAACACAGTTTTATTTCTGACTACATTAAAATATTGAATTTAGCAGCTGTCTCTATGTGCACAGTTACCCACACACCCTTCCTTTCCCCTCCAATTCTAATCAAGAATATTCCCAAGCTAAAGGAAAATAACAAACTAGCAGGTATAAGACATGTAGTACCTGTCATCAGTGTACAAAGCAATGATGGAGCCAGTATCACATCCAGTTGTCTTTGGCTACTTTTCCTGATGACAAAATAGTCAAGGAGAGCTGAATCCCTTGAAATGAGTTTACATTAAGTCTCAAAAGCAGACTTTTGGGCCAGTATCTAAATACTTGCCCATTGTAATTGCATAGCAAATATAAGGTCTATCTCTGAATACCACTGACTTTTTTTTTTTAATTTAAAATCCACCGGTTTCATCTTTTTAATGATGTTGCTCTACTCTTTTGAAACTGACCTTTAATATAAAATTCTCTGTCATACCTTATTTAGAATGTGACAGAGACTTACCTGCCATGCTTTTCACAGAAACTTTCATCTTAATGTAATCAGTAATGTTTCCTGTTTTGTTAAATGATTTTCTCTGTTTTCTATACATTTATTATTTTTAAATTTATTGAAACAATTCCTTCAAATATTGATGTAGGAGCATGGATCAACAATTACTTACTCACCTTAGGTGCTAGATTATGGAATAGAATTCATCTGTAAAAGTAAAGATGATGTGTTATTACCAATGTCTTTGAAAATTTGAAATCCTCTTCTACCTTAGCTTTCGTAACTGTTCTTCATGGTATATGTTCTCCCCCTCAAGGAAGTCCCTTAATTGTTTTTTGTTTGTTTGTTTTTAGTAGTTCCTTTTGGTAGTTCCTTCTCCTTAGCTTGTGATAGATAAGACTTCAAAATTGAAATCTTGATAAATTCTCGTTTCCCTCTTAGCTCCTTCTCTCATTTATCTATGATCTTATTTCCTGAGAGAATTTCAGCTACATAGAAGGGCAGATGGTTCACAAACTCCATTTCTTGTGGTTCATTTCCTTTTAAGTAATGTGGGGTTAATTATTTTGAATTAATATTTGATTATTTATTTTTCTGTAAAGGAGTGATTCCTAATGCTTGGCAAAAAGTTAAAATACGTTATTAAAACAAATTTTGTTTGTATTTGATGCATCTCTTTGCTAGACAGTTAGCTATATGAAATCTTTGTATATTTATTTCAGTAAATATACTGTTAATATGCAGTCATGTGAATTTTAATGGATATCTCCATTCTATTTGTATATGTTTTTTAGTCTAGTTCAACTGAATGAGTATCATGCTTTTGTAGTTGATATCTTCAGAAAAGGTTATTCTCCTAAAGAAGCACAAAATAGTTCATATTTTTTAGTACAAGCAAAACAGACTTAACTTTCTTCTAAATAAGGAATGCATAACTTTATCTAACAATTTTTCATTTGGTTAGGAATGCTAAATTTAATCGTGCAAATACTGCTTTATTGGCTGAAGGCCTAAAAGTGGTATAGGAAACATATAGTTTGTGAGTCCTATAAGGAATTGTACATATGCTGCATGGCACCCAAACCCTTGGAAGCATTCAGGTAGCAGATGAAAGGACATTTCAAAATGTCACTGTCATTTTTAAAAATGAAATTTAGACTTTTAAATCACTGAGATAATTTCAATATTTTTGTGTAAGCACTGTATAGAACCAAAAAGGCGAGACAGTTCAGTGTTGTCTAATGATCAAATAAAAGCAGAATAAACTTCTTGGAAAAGTAAATTCATAAAGGAAATAGAATTTTTGTTCAAGAGCATGAGCCTTTATATATAGAATTACATGTGTTCACAAGATAATGAGACATATGACATAACAGTCATCTAAAGAAAGGGTGCACTTAGTACAGAAGTCATTGAACTACATGAAAAATAACAGCTTAGAATTGCAAAATATTCAAGTACAGGTTACAAAATCCTGGGGTCTGTCAAAACAGAATAGATACACAACTGGAATGAAGATTCGGTGTTATGAATGTCTGACCTGTGTCACAGGTGCATGGCTCTAAAAATGCCCTCTGCTAGAGAGTGGGTAGTACTCCTGCAGGCTTTTGGATAGTCTGAGTACAGCTAACTGGATCCAAAGTGCTCTTGAATGAGCAAGCGGGACAAGAACCTCTGGAACTGAGTAGACAGCAGGCATTTGCTGAGCATGCAAGTATCCTCACAAAATTCTCATTATTGTTGCTTAGAAGAAATAGACATTCTCCTGCAAGTTTAGTAATTTTTGTTTTCATACTATTACTCACTAGCTAAATAATGACTTTTGTCATTATTTTAAAATAAGAAGTTGTCAGCTGCCTTTTCATGAAGGTCCTCATTTGGCACAAATTTCCATTAAGTATGTATAAGGCAAAATATCTGTTTGTTCATCTGTTATTATCTCCTTATATTTATTTGGGTGGCATTAGCTTAGGTGTGGAACATAAATAATCCAGGGTGTCAGAGATATCCTGTTATTTGAATACATTGTCTTTTATTTCCTTCTTCATGAGAAAAAAATTTAAAAGGAAATTTAGATCTTTTCATTCACAAAATATGAGCATCTCTGAAATGACTCATGGTGAAAGAAACCTGGAGGCATTCTTCTGCTGACCTAACCATCCATATCTGCCAGTATTGCCAGCAACAAAGCAGCAAAGTGTTTTGCAAAGTGGTTATTTTTGCAACTTTATGTTTTGTTTAGGCACTTGGACTGTTGAACATTTACTTATGCAAGGTATAACTCATATGAGATTCAAGAACCTATGCATGCAATAAAATATGTCTGACCAGGAAAGATTTAAAAACTCCATTTAAAAATTACAAGATGTGTATCAAGAATATCTGTAGATTATTTGCTTGTAGTGTACTACAGCTGTGCCCTGAGTTAACGCTGTCCTTTTAAGTGAAAATGTTATCTTATTACGGCTAAGAGATTATGGATGTTAAATTAAGAAGTGAGAAGAATAATGGATGTTGACAGGAGGTGGAGTATGATTGACTTTACCTGGTTTCAAAAGCATGTTCTTCTTCCAAGCCACATTGACTTCAATTTCTAGGATTAAGACTAACATATTTTTTTAAAAGGTTCTGTTAAAAAAAAGTGCTTCTTACTGTAAAGTTACTCTTGTTTTAGGCAGATTTTATTTAGCACAAGCAGGATTGACATTGAAATAAAATACAACAGGTTTCCCAGTTGATTTTGATTTAATGGACATCTTTGGTAGAGGACCTCAGGGTAGGCTGGCTCTAGCTATTTATCTTTATACTGGATGGTTTATATATTTTAAGAAAGTGACAAATGGCTGCTTTAAAAAAACTCATTATGGTAATTGATTATTATAGGAAAACCTCAGAAACTTTATGAAAGAGAGACATATTCTCTAAGTGTCTTAGCTTTAAACCAGACTTGTAATTAGAAGAATCCATAAACATTTGTCACATTGTGAGAGGTTCAGTCAGAAGGTTTAGAATAAAACTGTGGAGGCACTTTATTGTTCTGTGTTAAAATCACATACTTTAGTGATTTTCCCTTACCCCAGAGAGATTAATTTGCCCAGCTGAACAGAGGACCACACACATTTTCAGGACTCCTCTAAGCTGAGTCCCACAAGAATTTTCCTGTGTGTGACTCTGAGGGGGTGACCGGAATCTTGGATTAATACATTTCTGAGTTTTGTTGTGGAGCCATATTTTCAGTGTAGAATTTGTTCAGGAATTTTAGCTATCTATGGTCCCACCCCTTTTTCTGCTTGGTCTCTTCATATATCTGAAACTTTGGGTGTCCCAGAAGGAAACTCACTGATCTCACATTTGCCTCCTTGCTTCACCTTCCTTATTTTAGTTATAGCTCATTCTGAGCAAGTTCTGAGAGATTCCAGTCCTGAATCCATATGTAAGATGGCCTTTAACTCATATTTAATTCAAGGCCTTATAGTTTAATGACTGATTTATTTAAGCAAACAAACAAAACATTTTGTTAAATTATAGCTAATGTGGCTAGAATTTTATATTGCTTTCATTAATGTGATAAATCTTGCAAACATTAAAAAATAGGACCAAAATTTGACTCTCTGATGTTACATTACCTATGCCTCTGGAAGACAGAGACAACATTTCTTGTTTGCCTTTTGCAGAGACAATTAACATTCAGGAGACTTAATCACTGTTTTCAGAAATGCTGAATATGAAAAATTAACTCTTTGATTTCAAGTTCTTAATCATGTCCAAACTTGAGGAGTCGTTGCTGTCCCTGTGTACAGAAAAGTAAATTTTTCAAAACTAAATCAATTGCAGTTGATTCTTTAAGAACCTTTTGTTCCAGATTTAGGACCACAATATGTGACTCAGTTTGATTTCTAGTTTATCTAAGGGAATATACATTTCATGGTCATTATAAGAAAGAAATAAATTAGTTGCTCAGGATAAACCATAATTGAGCCCAAAAGACAGAAGATACTTGCAAAGCCATAGGTTACTATGGTACACATACTTCAACAATTTTCAGTCCAGAGGATTTTTGCAGCGTGGCTTCTCAGGCAAAAGCTACCATGTATGTAGTAGTAGTAGTAGTAGTACATATATGAGGTATTATTTCTTTTAACCAGCTTTCATTGTTGTAACCCTCAACATTTACAGTGTTTTCTGTTATGGCACCACATCCTGCAGTCAAGGCAGTGTATAAGAATGTCATCTTTCAGTTCTAAAAAGCAAGCCTCTAGCCTATAAAGCTGGTGAGAAAAGATTGACTTTGCCACCTTAGTTATATGTAAGGCTCAGAAGTGAGAATGCAAATGAAACAACTATAAAAAAATTTTCTTAAAACTTCTGTAGTTTTTACCAAACCCCATAATTTTTAGAAAGGTTTTGTGACACTTTATTATACAGAGTTGAAAATAGCATCATTTATCTTTCTTTAAATATATTTTTTTGTTTCAGATAATGTCCTACATATGAACTTACATATGTCTATAACAAGAGCAAGCCAAAAAATCTGAGAAAAAAATTGGAGTTTTCAAAAGCAAAGAGTTTTTGACTCTTCTAAGCAGACATGTTATAAACCCAAGCCCATAATGGTCACATCTATTCTTTCTCCACAGCAAGCTACATCTTTTAACTATTAAAATTTTTCTTATTCCAAGCTTGTTTCAGTCTGTAAACCCCTTTTTAAACATGAAATAAAAATCATTGTTCCTTTGGCAACTATACAGTTTCTTTGTTGAAAGCTGCTCAATTCAAATATTCCACTCACAAAGATATGTTACTTGGCAGCTTGATGTATACAGTAAAAGTGAAAGATATTTGTTAATAGCAGAGAATAAAATTCATGTTCTTTGTGTTTCCCCATAACAGAGATTTTTCAAGCTAACCACTGTTTCAGATTGATATACAGCAGATAAACAATGAAACTTCCAAAAGTCTAAACCTCTCAGTTCTTTTATATGTATAGTCAGTGGCAAAAAGCATGTGGTAGGATCAGGCGATAAGATTTCAAAGTCTGATGTAAGTGTACATTGAGGTGTAACTGAGCTGCTTCAGTGTTCATATGTAGTGTTGTCTCAGCAGACAGAGGTTGCCTCTCTCTGTTTTTATTTTACTTTATCAGCTGTTTTGAAGTTATACCCGCAGCAAAAATATACTCTTCTAAAACTACATGAGGCAGATATCTTGCAATTATAGCAGAATAAGGTGCTAAAGGTTATGGACCAAGGTTATGGAGCAGATCATCTTGAGTGCCATCAAATGGCACACACAAGACAACCAAGGGATCAGACCCAGCCAACATAGTTTAGGAAAAGCAGGTCCTGTCTGACCAACCTGATCTCCTTTTACGACCAGGTGACCCCCCTAGTAGATGAGGGGAAGGCTGTGGATGCGGTCTACCTGGACTTCAGCAAAGCCTTTGGCACTGTCTTCCATAGCATACTCCTGGAAAAGCTGGCAGCCCAGGGCTTGGACGGGGCACTCTGTGCTGGGTTAGGAACTGGATGGATGGCTTG